TCTTTATTTACTTCATTTCTTCTCCTTCTCCGATTTCTATTTCTTTTTTATTTGTTATGATTCCATCTCCAAGTGATATAAATTTGATATTTGATTGTGAAATTTTAAATATTGTTGTTGTTTTCTCTTGTTCTTTCTTTTCTTTGCGTGTTATAATGTAATTAATCATTATTATTATAATTATAATTATTATAATGATGATAATAAGTATAATGATGATAATTATCATTATCATCCACCATACGATTTCTTTATTACATTTTGTTCCTTCTTCATTGATTCCATACCAAAATGAACATTTTGAACATTTATTATTTTTTGTTTCTTTACATTTATTAATATTTGAATAATGAATACATTCTTTATTTATTATTATATATTCTTCTTCACATTTATTACATTCTTTCTCATTTAAACATGTTATACATTTATTTCCACATTTTGAACATTCTTTATTTATTAAATAATATCCTGTTAAACATTCTCTACATCCATATTCTTTATCTATTTCTCCTTTACATCCTTTAATTGTTGTTGTTGATTTACATATTCCTGTTGAACTCATAAAATATCCTTCTCCACATATTATACATTTATCTTTTTGATTACATGTTAAACATTCTTTTCCACATTTTGAACATCCTTTCCCATTTCTATAATATCCATTCTTACATATTCCACATCCACTTCCATCTGCTAATATTTGTAAACATGTTCCATTTAATTCTTCATTTGATTGACATGTTTTATCATTTCTTAAATATTTATCATTAGAACAACTCATACAATATGTAGATGTTCCATAACATGTTTCACATTTATCATCACATTTTAAACATTTCATTTCTTTTGTTAAATAATATCCTTCTTTACATCTTTTACATCCATATATATTTTGTTCTTCACAATATTCTATTTTTGTATTAATACATTCTCCCTTCAAATTAGGTGAATATGTATTTAAACATTCAACACATTTTCCATTAACATATGATTTATTTAAACAATTCTGAATATTATTATTATTATTACATTTTCCATTTTGATCTTTTATCATATCTTCTTCACATGTTTTATTTATACATTTATTATTATCTAAATATTCTTCATATTTACATTTTATTTCAATATCATTTGTTTGACATATTTCTGATTTTGAACATTCTATACATTTATTATTATTGATGT